GATGAATGTCTGCACCAGGGTCCCTTCTGAGCGCAGGTACAGACCGGTATGCTTTTCGCACCAGCATCTCCACCTCTAGAGCCCACTGCTGCAAGTTTTCGTTGATGCTCTGCACGCGATCTTTAAGCTGCGCACGAAAGACGTATTCCAGGTGAGCGTCGCCATATCTCGCCTCCAATGCCTCAAGGAGTTGCTCATAAGTCACTTCCTCACCGAGGCCTAGTGAGAGAGCAGTCATGGCCTGACTTTTATTCCAGCCGTTCGTCTTCATAACAGCTTCGAACTGGATTTTGTAGGCCAACCAGTAAGAAGTCCCGTCGAACGGTGGCACCTTGAACCCACGTAGCGAAGGTGTTGCAGCTACTACGGGAGCTGTAATTCCATCTCCCAGTTTGAGGTCATCCAGCATTTTCTTCACGTCAGCCACCACGTTGTCAACCCGATTGTTCACTTGGTCGATTCGGGTTTCAGCTTTCTTGATTCGGGTTTCAGCTTTCGCGATTTGGGTTTCAGCTTCCGACAGGCGGTTATCATGCTGAGCAACCCTATCCTTCACCTCGTTTATCTCCCTCCCGAAGGTAGCGTGAAGGTCCTTCATGAGGAGCATCTGTTCTTCCAACCGACGGGCCTGTTCTTCTTATCCGCCCCGCAGCTGCTCTTCCAAACGACTGACCTGTTCCTCCTGTCGGCGGGCCTGTTCATCCTGTCCGCGCTGCAGCTGCTCTTTCAACTGACGGACCTGTTCCTCCTGTCGGCGAGCCTGTTCCTGCAGCATCACCATCAGAGCACCTAAATCAGGTGCTGCATATGTAGGAGCTACTGACGGGCCTGCAACCGGCGGCTGGGCCTCCGACGTCTGCGGCGTTGCACCACCAAATCTTCTTTGGTCCGTCTCCTGCTGGCGTTGACTTCGGGTACGGACACCCTCCGTTTCCTCCTTAGGTAAAATCGGCATGATTTTATCCCACTTCTGACACCAATTGTTACGAGCTTGAGGTTCGTGACAATAAAAATTGCCTATAGAATTACTTAAATTTACACTTTAATTTTCTTTACACAAATTAAAACTTAAAACAACAATAATTAATCACACTGATTCACTTTATTTCGCTCCGAAGCTTCGCTTGTCTCGCCAAATTCAATACTACCCCGATCGCATCTTGCAGCGCCTATAAATACAAATTAGCACCGAAACATCCAGAATATTCAAGTAAACACGCGCGAGGGGCCGAGAGTTCGAGCGTCAGCTTCTAGAAGCTTAGTTCTTCGTTCCGAGACTAGATGGCGCTGTCGGTTGAAAGATTAGTGATGTCATTTTCTGGAAAGCTCCACTCGCTCTCGTCCCTGACACTAGATGGCGCTAGTGCCGGATACATGACGTCGACTTATTCGCGCAACAATATTAATTGTTTACCCACACCAACACTTTCATTTTTTATTTCACCCCTTAGAACTTTATACGTGTGTAATATTTCACTTTATACATCCGTTTACTGCTATTGTGGCAGGACAAAGTGGATGTGGAAAGTCAAATTTTGTAATAAATTTCATAAAATCAGTTACAGAAATATTTCATTGTGATTTTAATCAGATCACATGGTGCTTTGATGAAATGCAACCTTTATATAATTTACCAAATGTTAACTATAATCAAGGAATTTCAAATCTTAATATGTTTGATGGTGAAAACCCACATCTTGTTATTATTGATGATCTAATGAAAGAGTCCGATGGAAGAATTGTTGATATATTTACAAAAGGTAGTCATTCACAGGAATCTCAGTGTATTTTATTTAACACAAAATTTATTTCATCAGGGTAAAGGGCAAAGAGACATATCTTTAAACTCAAGTTATATAACATATTATAAAAACCTTCGCGATAAAACTCAAATAAGATATTTAGCACGACAAGTGTCACCAGATAATCCAAAATTCATTGAAGATACCTACAGGGATGCAACTCTAGAGGCGCATGGATATTTAATAGTAGATTTAAAACAGAATACCAATGATTTTTGTCGTATCAAGACAAATGTCTTCCCATTTAATGGTTTTTGTACAGTCTACGTCCCCACAAAAGAGTTTAAATACACCAAGAATCAAACAATTCAAATCATTGCTAAATGATGCATCGTCGACTCACAACGCATAAACTTATTCTCAATATAATGATGGTTGCAAGTATATATACTTTGTGTTATTGATGTATTCAGTAAATATGATTTTGCAAGACCAATGAAAAAGAAAAACTCAGAAAATACTAAAGAATGTTTTGAAAGTATATTTACTGAAAGTAATTTAACACCTACTCACATACAATCTGATAAAGGTATAGAATTTGTTTCAAAAGATGTACAAAAATAACTTTAAATCCAAAAAGATTAATTACTATACCACTAACAATCCTGACATAAGGCCAGTATTGTTGAACGATTTCAAAGAACACTAAAATGAAAATGTGGCGTTATTTCACTCATAATAATACTTATAGATATATAAATGTTTTACAAGATTTAATATACTCTTATAATCACAGCTTTCACTCTAGTATTAAGATGTGCCCATGTGATATAAATTCCAACAATATTATGACAGTTTGGACTAATCTTTATGATAGACGGTCAAACAAACTTTCTTTAGAAAATCCTAAACCAAATTTCAATGTGGGTGATTATGTTCGTATAACTAAATATAAACATGTTTTCCAAAAAGGATATGAATCAAATTGGAGTGATGATATATTTATTATATCTTCAATAATTGATAGATCTCCATGGGTTGTTTATACAATAACAGATTTACAAAATGAACCAATAGTTGGTACTTTTTATGAAAGAGAATTACAGAAAATCACTTACAACCCCACCTCACAGTATAAAATAGATAAAATAATTGACACTCGTTATTCAGGTAACAGAAAAGAAGTATTAGTGAAGTGGAAAGGTTATCCAGATAAATTTAACAGTTGGATTTTAGCTTCTAGTTTAAAAGAAATATGAATAAAGAAAGTTTTTATTTAACTTTGCTCCGCAATAGTTCAATGGAATACTTTCCTGATAACAAGACCACAAATTTTTCAACGAAATTACCAAAAGCTATTAAATTAGAAGGTGAATGGTCGGTTGGAGTTATCGAGTTTCAATATCCATGTACCATGTTTACTGTTCAAGATCATGAAAATGTTATATACATTACAAAATCTATGTTAATGCCTAATGATGATAAACCATCCATTGTGTACTACAAAAAACATATTCCAGCTACCAACTATAATAATAATAATAATAACGGCTTAACCCTCGGCCGTTTGGTCTCCCCTGCCGAGGGCTTCCATCTGGTTGGGCTTTTATTTATTTATGTATTATTTATTTATTTATGTTAGTATATTATATTATATTTAAGTATATTTATTTTTCCCTTTATATATTTATCCAGCCCAAACAGATGTGTTTACTCTATTAATAACCCAAATAATAATAATAACTCTACTGGGACCGTGCCATCATCACAGACAGGACTATTCTTGCGAATAAGCCTGATATTGTGCTGATGGACCGGGCACAGTCAAGGATATTTTTGGTCGACATTACCATTCCGTATGACGAGAACCTCGTGAAAGCCGAAACAGACAAGCAAACAAAATATCTGGACCTGGCTCACGAGGTTACCGACATGTGGGGTGGTCTGCCGACCGAAATTATTCCTGTAGTCGTCTCTGCAAACGGGCTAATCCCAGTCAGCCTCTCGGGTCATCTGAGGCGGCTGGGACTACGTGGCGGACCGCTCCAGGTTCAAATGCAGAAGGCGGTGCTCCTCGATACCGCCCGCATCGTCCGCCGGTTTCTTTCCCTTTCCCCCCTAACCCTCGGCCGTTTGGTCTCCCCTGCCGAGGGCCTCCATCTGGTTGGGCTTTTATTTATTTATGTACTTTTATATTTATTTTATGTTATTGATATTTATGTATATTTGTCTTTTCATTTTCATTTATAATTATATATTTATAGCACCCAACCAGATGAGAAAACTATATAGATACCCCAAAATAATAATAATAATAATAAGGCGTAGGGAAGTGACGACCCCATCGCCCGCTGACGAAACAGTTAAGTGACAAAACTGCTACGTCGGTGCAGTCAGTCAGCGCCTTGCCAAGAGGTGTGAGCGCCGTGCCTCGGCAGTACTCAGGGTGCAAAGGCCCGTTTGTGCTTACGGCCGTACAATGATACAATAAAACGGTGCCGGGCCTGGGCGTCTCCCGCTAATTGGCGCCCAAAAATGGATGATGGATAAGATTGGAAAACGTATAGGGCCGCTGCCTGGGGGTCGCCGGGGCGCGTCTGGAGCTGGCGCTGGACGCGGCAGCATGCGGGCCGCCAGCCGAGCGCGAGGAGCTGCAAGATCACCTAACAGCCCCCCGCATCCATCATCCCCACCAGACGGCTTGATGTCGGCAGGGTCCTCTCGGACTCGGCAAGCGGCATCCGCCGCTGGTGGAGTGCGCCGCATGCGTTGGACAAGGGATATGAACGCAAACGCAATGCGGGCGTACTATAGGGCGAAAGGGGAAGAAACTGCGGGGATAGCGTATCGGGCTAGGATTCATTGCTTTTTTTGCTGAGCTGGAGCCGTCTATTCCCGTCACGGAACAAAACCTGGCAGAGCGAGTTCGGTACATCATGCGCTCGAAAATATTCGATGATGCCGAGCTCGAACGACTACGACGTGAGGCCATTCCCTCATCGAATGAATTGGCTACGGCTGGGGATGAGGCTCCTCAGGCGACAGACCAGCTGCCACGAGTAGAAGCCGCCATGGATCTTCCAGTTGTGGGTGATTCAGATGATGATGAAATGGTCTCCCACGAACTAGAGCAAATGAGGAGTATATTGGAAGAGACGATTTTAGAAACGCGCAGCATGCCTCTCGAAAATCGACCGCGACTTCCCCCGCATACCCCTAAGCAAGCGAAATCGGGCTGTCGTGAGGGCTCTTAACCCAATGCTGGTAACCTATTTGGAAGCCAGCCGGGACCTTTGCGAGACGGACTCAGTTCTTTTTGGCGCCGCAGTGGCAGCTTGCCGTATTATTGGCGCCAAACTTCCCATGGCTGGACGCGCTACTAAACAAAGTAGCGCCATCCCAGCCTGGAGAAAAAGAATTGAGGACCGTATCGCAAAGGCAAGGGCCCTTATCGGCAGACTGATAAGCTTCAGGTCGGGTAATAATAGACCGAGGGTTGTGCGCACCGTTAGAATGGCGTTTGCTGGGACAAATATCAGTTTGTCCCAGCCGGATATCACGCAGAAACTAACGGAGCGCATAGACGACCTGAAGCAAAAGATTGCCGCTTGGGGGAAGCGGATTCGCCGATTTACCGAGAGGTCAAGGCGGTTCAACCAGAATCGTCTCTTCCAGAGTGATCAAAGAGGCTCTACAAATCATTGGAGCGACCAGAGGTATGTGGAGCGGGCCCAGGACCGGATCAGGCTAACACTGTCGCATTTTGGCGTGGCCTGTGGTCAGAGCCCGTAAACCACAGCGAGGGCCCTTGGACGGAAGTTGTGGCGAGTCAGTGTGCGAGTATTACGCCCATGGACCCCGTCATCATAACGCCGGATGACGTAGCTGAGGCGGTCCGTAGAGCCCCGAACTGGAAAAGTCCGGGACTCGACGGACTGCATCACTACTGGCTGAAGGGGTTCATGGTGTGTCACGCTGTGCTCGCCCGTCAGTTTCAAGAGGCTCTCAACCAGAAGTCGCTCCCTAGCCTCTTCACTACTGGGATCACTCATTTGGTTCCTAAAGACCAGGTTACCACAGACCCGAGCAAATACCGCCCCATTACGTGTCTACCCACCATATATAAGACACTGACATCCATTTTGAGCGCGAGAATCACTCGTCACCTGGAGCTAAATCAGGTGATGTCACGCGCTCAAAATGGATGTCGGGGCGGTGGTCGTGGAACTAAGGAACCACTCCTCATTGACGCGGTCATTGGCAAAGTGGTGAAACGCAACCGTCGGAACTTCTCCGCCGCCTGGATAGACTACAGAAAGGCATTCGACTCGGTGCCCCATACATGGCTAAAGAGAGTCCTCGAGCTGTACAAGATAGACTGTGCAGTGAGAGACTTCCTCGAGCAGTGTATGGGGCAGTGGAGTACGATCCTTTGTCATCTGGGTGAGCGGATGATGGCTGCGGAGAACCACATAAGGATAAGAAGGGGTATCTTCCAGGGCGATTGTCTGAGTCCAATCTGGTTCTGCCTCTCCCTAAACCCTCTCAGTACCTTACTGGAGGGATCCGGGAGAGGATTTCAGCTACGGAAAGGAGGGACAAAAGTGACCCACCTTTTCTATATGGATGACCTTAAGTTATTCGCCTCCAGTCGCTCCCATCTTGTGGAATTGCAAAAAATCACTTGTGAGTTTAGCAGTTCCATTGGAATGGAGCTGGGGACGGATAAGTGTGCGGTCCTCCATGTTGAGAGGGGGAGGGTTGCTAACTCTGAGGGCATAGATTTATCTATGCCCGTCAACTTAAGGACCCCTTTCCGAGGCTGAAACATACCGATACCTGGGTATGTCACAGAACATCGGTATCGATGAGGCTGGTGTGAAACAGTCAGTTTGCGACGTGTTTTATGCACGCTTGACCAAAGTGCTTAATAGCCTTTTGTCCGGTGTGAATAAGACACACGCATATAACGGTTGGGTCATGCCTGTCCTTATGTATACCTTTGGCATACTCAGGTGGACTCAGACTGAACTTAACGCCCTGGATAGAAAAGTCCGCACTACCATGACGTCCCATAGGATGCATCATCCGAGATCGTCGGTAATGAGGCTGTACTTGCCGCGAAAGCATGGTGGGCGTGGCTTTCTAAGCGCGCTCACTATGCATAATCGTGAAGTGTGCAGCCTCCGTCATTACTTCCTGGCGAGATCGGATGATCCATTCTATAATGACGTCATTTCTAGTGATAAAGGGCTTACCCCTCTATCCTTGGCCAACGAGCAATGGCAGGACCCAGCAGTGCTTAGCATTTCCGACCGGGAGACCGTATGGAAGGAGAAGGAGCTCCACGGGAGGTACTACAGGGTTCTATATGAGCCCTTCGTAGATACAGTCGCCTCCCTCAACTGGCTACGTTTCGGTGACCTCTTCGGGGAAACCGAGGGTTTTGTCTGTGCAATACAGGATCAGGTTATTAAGACCAACAACTATCGGAGATACATCCTAAAGGATGGCACCGTCGACGTCTGTCGAGCTTGTCGCCATCCCGGGGAGTCACTTAGACATGTCATCTCCGGTTGTTCGGCGCTTTCTAACTCTGAGTACTTGCACAGGCACAACCTAGTAGCCAGAATTCTACACCAGGCGCTCGCTCTGAAATACGGTCTCGTGGACCGGAAATTGCCGTATTACAAGTACTTGCCGGAAGCCGTGCTCGAAAATGACCGCGCCAGGCTCTACTGGGACCGGGCCATCATCACAGACAGGACTATTCTTGCAAATAAGCCTGATATTGTGCTGATGGACCGGGCACAGTCAAGGATATTTTTGGTCGACATTACCATTCCGTATGACGAGAACCTCGTGAAAGCCGAAACAGATAAGCAAACAAAATATCTGGACCTGGCTCACGAGGTGACCGACATGTGGGGTGGTCTGCCGACCGAAATTATTCCTGTAGTCGTCTCTGCAAACGGGCTAATCCCAGTCAGCCTCTCGGGTCATCTGAGGCGACTGGGACTCCGTGACGGACCGCTCCGGGCTCAAATGCAGAAGGCAGTGGTCCTCGATACCGCCCGCATCGTCCGTCGGTTTCTTTCCCTTTCCCCCTAACCCTCGGTCGTTTGGTCTCCCCTGCCGAGGGCTTCCATCTGGTTGGATCTTTATTTATTTGTGTATTTTTTTGTATTTATTTTATTTTATTGATATTTATGTATATTTATCTTTTCATTTTAATTTATAATTATATATTTATAGAAACCAACCAGATGAGAAAACTATACAGATACCCCAAAAATAATAATAATAATCTTTTTTAAAAACTTAAGAAGTTACAAAACACGTGCGTGCGTGCGTGCGTGCGTGTGTGTATGTGTGTGTGTGTGTGTGTATGCAAACATGACCTATTAGTTTATAAATTGACTCCAAGAAGTCTCTCGCTAGCATAGTAATCCAATTCTTTTAGCCAATCAAGGAAAACGATTTTTAATTTAAAGTTGCTGAGCTTCTGTATAACTTTTATTTTGTTGAATGTGTTATAAAGCCGAGGCACAATATATTCGTAATGCTTTCTTGCTACCGAGCATTTCCTGTTAGGGGCAGGGTACTTTGCGGTTCTTTTGTTCGTGACATATGTGTGTGGTACAGTTAAACGATGATACCGTCTGATGCATTGATACCTGAAAGTTTACCGAACAGACAGAACCCCTGTTTTTTATATAGCAAGTTGGTCGGGTAGCGGTAAGGTAAAGCAATCATCACTTTTAGAATAGCTCTTTGCGCTCGCTCTATTTCCATTAAATGTGTTTTGCACGCACCACCCCAAGAACAAATGCAGTAATTTATCAAACAGTGACATAGAGCATTATAGGTCTGGACTAAAAGTTGTTGGTTAGCTATTGTTCTTAGTTGTCTGAAAATAAATAATAGTTTTTTTATTCTTTTAGCAGTATTCGAAATGTGTAGACTCCATATCAGATTTTCATCTATTGTAACACCCAGGTATTTAGTGTTTGTTACCCTTTCTATGGGGGTGCAATTGCACTTTGATGGAGAGTGAGACATGTTACATGAATAGGAATGTATGATTAAACTCAGATTCTTTTTGCAATTCGATGCTTTGGTGTTACTGAAGCAAACGTATTTTGTTTTGGAGATGTTCAGCGTAAGTAAACTGTTTTCTAGCCATTTATTTACTCTAATTAAACCAAATTGTGTTAGTTTATGAACAATTTCCCAGTCCTTCCTGTGAAACAGCAGCACAGTATTATCAGCAAACATTATTATGCTGGCACCTGGAATGTCTAGTTTGCACAGTTCGTTAATATAAAATAAAAAAAGTGTCGCTGATAATGTGCTTCCTTGTGGTATACCATAGGAGCAGTTCGCAGTATCGCTCAATAGGTTGCAAATATGTACTCATTGTTTTCTATTTTTTAAATAGTCGGAGATCCATAGAAGCGGTAAGTCCCTGATGCCAATATTTTGCAGTCGTGAGATTAATATTGGAATTGAGACGGTATCAAAAGCTTTTTGGAGATCTAAAAAAACCCCAATGCATTTTTCTCCCACATCGAGATATGTCGATATTTGATTGGTCAAATCTAGCACCGCATCATTCTTTGACCGACCTGTTCTAAAACTATACTGGTTTGGTGCTAGTAGATTGTTATTTTCTAAATATTTAATTATTTGTTTGTTCGCAATTTTTTCTATTACTTTTGAAACTATTGATAACAGGGCTATGGGTATATAGTTAGATGGATTAAGTTTGTCTCCTGCTTTATAGATGGGTATGATAGTTGCCAACTTAAAAACCTGTGGGAAGCTACATGATTCAAAGCTAAGATTACATATGTGGGTGATAATTGGAACTAGTTCGTGAGTACACATTTTCAAAAGTTTTGCTGTAATGCTATCGTTTCCAGGAACACTATTTGATTTTAGACTTATTATTGTCTGTCTTACTTCTAATATGTCCGTTGGAAGAAGAGACATTGATTTGAGTGGGCCTAGAGATAACGCCTCACTTGCTAGTTCCAATTCTAATTTACCGAATTTGTTAAGCGTGCACTCTGCCAAGTTACTGTCAATAGTCGTAAAGTATTTATTTACTATATTAAGTGCCTCTCTTGGGCTGCTAGCAATGTTTAGGAGTTCTTTTGGGTTGGATTTATTTTGCTTTAGTTCACAGAACTCTTTTATTACTTTCCATGTATTTTTAGTATTACAATTGCTCAATATCAGTTTGTTTTTAGAATATTCTATTTTCAGTGATTTTATTACTTTATTACAAGTATTTCTATATTCCACATAAAAAGATTTAAGTGGTTCATCATTAAGCGATTTTTTAACTTTCATGTTGAGTTTGTCTCGTTTTCGAATAGACTTGAGTAGGAGTTAGTTATCCAAGGTTTTGATATTGTGTTTCTTTTGTTAGTTTTTGCTGGGACACTATGAGATTTTATCAAGTCAGTTAATGTTTCAGTTAGCTTGGCAGCTGCGTAGTTTGGATCTCTAATATGATAGAAAAAATCCCAGTTGTAGGTTTTTAATATCTTCGAAATTTTTTGAAAATTAATTTTCGTGTTTTCCTGCTGTGGAGTGGTTTTATGGCTTTTGTTTCTTTTTATATGTAAAAGTATCGGAGAGTGGTCAGTGAACTTCTGAAATACAATAGTTTTGGTCTTATATTTGGATTTTACCATAAAATGGTCCAAGCACGCCTTATCACTTGTAGGACAATTAACGCATTGTGTTAGGCCATGAGACACTAGCATAGAGATAACTATGAT